ATATATATATATATATATATATATATATATAAAAAAAGAGGTTATAGTGTTTCCAACGAGAGAAAAATGTGTATATTAAAAAGAAGAGAGATGCCGCAAACGTTTTTGGTTGTAATGTGGATTAAAAAAAAAAATATTATGCTTTATTTCCCATAATTTTACTACACGTGTTTCTGGTCTCGCGACCGTCTTCAGTAAAATCGGAGATTTCCACATATTATTAAAAATAATTAGTTTTTTTTCTTATGTTTTTCAATGTTAAATATTCTCGATATGAGACATTCTCTGTTTTTGTGTTAGTAATCCGAATGTCTTTCTTGAACTGGCAGTGAAGAGTTCTGAGTGAAGGCTCATAAAACAATTAAGGTTGGTCCAAGAGAAATGATGAATTACTTATCGGCATTTTATCTTTTAATGTTCTAATGACCCCTGTGTGTCCTTAGATCTGTTTCCATTTTCGTGTGTTTCTGTCAGCATGCGTGTATATATGCGTGCGTATATTCCCCCTCCATACATATACTGTATACATCCATATATATATTACTAAATTTTAAGCACATTAAATTATGCAGATGAAAGTTATTCCCTAAATGAAATATTCATAAATAATTAAAATTATCATTTATTAAGTTTAGCGTTTTGGGGATTTCAATATTATTATACTGCAATTTAGGAATTTATGAAGTGAATTTATATCTACTCAAATGTTACTTAAAAGGAAAATTTGGTAGTCTTCTTGTTCGAAAAATTCAATATTTGCACTAATCTGTTTACGCTTCTGCTCCATAATGATATGACACTGCCAGACGAAATTTCGTGTAAATTTATTGGAAAAATAAACTCAGGCTGAAGGCACAGCGTCCGACAGTCACGAGCAGCTGAAAACGAGATTTTTCCAGTAATCATTTTGTATATAAGCCAGAAAGGATTGACTTGATGTACAACATTGACCGTATATATATATATATATATATATATATATATATATATATATATATATATATAAAAAACTGAGCGTTTATATGTATGTGTTTGTGTAAGTGTGTGTGTACACACATACACATAGACACAACATATATATATATATTTTTGTTTGTATATCTATGATTATATATATATATATATATATATATATATATATATATATGATTAAAACGAAAGATTGGTTCACGTGTGCTTCTTATAGTATGTACATTTCAAAGGCCGGTTGATAAAATTTGAGGAATGAAAATCCACAATAATGATAATATTGGCAATATGATTGATGATATTTGTGATATATATTTCAACTATCAAGCACGAAGAGAATGACAATAAAGTTTAAATTATATATATATATATATATATATATATATATATGTGTGTGTGTGTGTGTGTGTGTGTGTGTGCGTGTGTGTAGTGATTTTCCAAGCTTAGATGTGACGCAAGGCCTAAAGTAAGGGGCGCTGAGAACCGTACTTAGTCGTAATTGTTCTAGCGAGACGAGGTGCCATGTATCTATATATCTATATCTATCTATCTATCTATCTATCTATCTATATATATATATATATATATATATATATATATATATATACCCGTTATGGCGGACCTTTTCAAATATTCCCACACGGCCACCATAACACCTTGAATTATTAATGTCTGCTGCATAAACCAATAGTTTTAGGTGGCCAACAGATACAAATTGAAAGAATTGAGGTCGGGGCTATGTGCAATCAATGAAACCGGTCCTCCCTTACCTATCCATCTTTAAGGTTAGATATCATCTAGTGCATCGCGAACAATATGACGAAAATTTACTGGCGTCCCATCATACGTAAAACACATACGAGCAGGAGTACATTCTCTATCAGGTCTGGAATACGTGCTGGAAGAACATATGGACCTACCAGCCACCTTAATTCGATACCGTGTCAGGTATTTGAAAATATATATATATCAGGTTCGGAATTATATATATATATATATATATATATATATATATATATATATATATATATATATATATATATATATATATATATATATATAAATTTGCATTATATATATATATATATATACATACCGGGATCGGAATTAGACACACACACACACACACATATATATATATATATATATATATAAGAATTAGCATTACCAGAGACCCAATGTGGTTTTTGATCCGATAGAGGAACCGTGGTTATGATCTTTTGTTGCCGTCAGAAAAAAAGCACAAGAACAAAACAAATTCTATTTGTTGGTTTTGTATATTTCACAAAGGCTTTCGATATCTCGGACTGCTCTTCCGAATGGTTTGTCAAAATAATGTGTTGTAGAGAAAAATGCTCCATATTATTATCTCCTTTCACGAGTGAATGAAAGCTTTTGTAAGCTCGGGAAGTAAAAAATAATATTGAAAAGGGCTCCTTTTTTTGTCTCCAATGGTACAAAGCAACATTGCGTTCTTGCTCCTCTTCTCTTTGCACTTTTCTCTTCTGTTATGCTTGAAAAAGCATTCTCCGACTTAAGTGAAGGAGTCAATGGTAAATTCAGAACAAGTGGAGGTCTATACAATCAGCAACGTTCCAAAAGACAATCGAAACTTGGTCTGCAGCTGGTACGCGATCTTCTCTTTGCAGATGATGACGCTCTATTAGCACACAGTCTTGAAGACATTCAAACTATCCTTGATAAATTCTCTGAAACAGCGAAAGCATTTGAACTCACTATAAACATAAAGAAGACTGAGCTAATGTACCAGCCAGTACTAGGCAATTCATCTCTCACAAATCCGTCCATATTCATTGATGGTGCAGTATTAGAAACTGTTGCAGTGTTTACATATCTTGGATCAACATTCTCTTCGGATGAAAAAATAGACAGAGAAATCCAATCCAGAATAGCTAAAGCCTGCACAGAATTTGGTAATCATAAACACAGGTTATGGAACACAAAAGACGTGTCTCTCAGAGTAAAGATCGACATATACAGATCAGTCATTCTCTCAAACCTTCTCTATGGTGCTGACACTTGGATTCTGTATTGCAAGCACATCAATCAACTTAACGCCTTTCATGTGTGCTGTCTTCATGCCATATGTGATATAAAATGGGTGACAGGGTCAAGAATAGTGCTGTACTGAAGAAATGTAAAAACATCACAAGCATTGAAACCCTTCTAGCAAAGATAAAACTTAGTTTGCTGGTCATGTTGTGAGAATGGATAAGCATAGGCTTCCAAAAATGTGCTGTATGGACAACTACCAAACTCCAAGCGTTTAGTTGGACGCCAACTCTTACGCTACTAAGACAAACTAAAAGACAACTTGAAGCCTCTCAAATTTGATCCGAAAACCTGAGAATCCCAAGCATAAAATCCAAAAGAGTGGCGTAAGATATGTTTCATTAAATTAAAGGGTTTTGAAGACAGTAGACTGAAGCCCCGTGATCAACTTCGTCAAGCGCTGAAGCAGAGACGCCATCAAAATTCTGCTTTAACAAATTTCATCTGTCAGTGTGGCTTTGTCGCCCACAGCAAGGCTAGGCTAGTATCACACAAATGAGATATGTCTTTCCCTTACCTGATTTTCTCCACAATAGCACCTGCTAGCATGCATAAATGTAAAACAAAAGGCACTTCTGACACTCATTTATTGATCACGATAGGAGAGTCCACCATATATAAGCTAGGGAAATGATTTTCTGTTGCTTTCTCCGTGATTTTTAATACAGATTTGGCCTTCTTTTCGACCAATAGCACTACGAATGCTAGAATCGCCAGACTACACTGCTATTTTTTGATAGCTAAGACAATCCAGAATTATGATGCTGGTTCCAATCTGTAGATGACTGTCTGCAAAATACTTCTCCCTTCGCAAAGAAAAAACACAGAATTGCAGGCATTTTTTTTTATTCATAACCAATCAGGTTAGACCATTTCCCGGTTTCATCCGACTTAGTTCTGTTCTTTCTTGTCTTGAAGCCAAAACGCTGTGATCGCTGGTCTGTATCCCCCTTTTGTGTGTTATCACTATGCTTAATTTGTGAACTTTTTGCCATATTATTGTTGCTATACCTGAATTCTGTTGCTTTGTTTTGCATATATTGTTTGGTTGCCTAACATTATTTTGTTATTTTCTTTTTCTTTCTCTTTTAAAAATTAATTGCAAAATTTGTCAGTTCAGTGAGTTGGGCATTTCTGTCAATTATATTTAAACATGGTCAATTACTATACATATAAAACTTAAAATATGAAAGCGAATAAAGAAATTAAAAATAATAGATTCCATTTTGAAATAAAGATATTTTGGGGCATCTATTTAGTATAGGTAACTTTTGTTTTTATTCTTAGAATGCCAAACGCTAAATGCCCTCCCTTAAATTAACATTCAGTCTTCGTCTGTACATTAATACATTCAGAACATTGCTCTTCAATATAAATGTCTTCTCCATATAATCAAGATTTTTAGCTGTCTCCTATTAACTGAAATCTATGTAACTATTTTTTCTTTCCCGAAAGAAACATAGACAAAGGGAAAATATCAAGAAATATTGCACACGGAAACATTGTTTGAGTTGTAAATACTGGAGATTTTTTTTCTATTTTTAAATTCTAGCATTGTATTTGCAATCCAGAAGCGTCTGTTCTGAGTGGCAATTCCAGGAACTATAAATAGGGACATAATAGAAATTCTACTGCAAAACTTATTAGGAAAGAATTGAGAGAGAAAAAAAAAAACTTTTTGTCACGTTGTTATGTGGAGGACATAGTTAATATTTCTGGGAAGTAATAATAAGAAGTATATTTTATTCCATTAAAGAATAACTAAAGAAATTTTGAAGATGGGGATTCATTAGTATAGAGGGCGACAATCAAGATGGCTGACAATTTTCAAGTGTTGACAATTCTTTCACATCTCTGAAATATTATCTCACACAGACAGGATTATTTTCGCATCATCAGTCGATAATCTTAAGGCCTGAGAGAACCGTTTTAATTACAGATGCCTATATCTATCTCAGTCTTTGTATATCTATCTCAGTCTGTTTACATCTATCTATCTATCTATCTATCTATCTATCTATCTATCTATCTATCTATCTATCTATCTGTTTGTCTTTCCGTTTATATATCTATACTAAACACTTCAATTACGTCGGTGTATAGGTCACTTACAACAAATCCAGAATAGGCGATAAGGAAACTGAACATAGGCTTTTCTAAGGATAGTTTTACTCAACACCGCAAGCTGCTACAAAGTCAAAACATTAACCTAAAAATAAGTTCACTATTTACATTATTCGGACTATTGTCCTCATCTATGTTGCCATATTTATCACAATGTTTCGGCCGTTGTACCCTTCGGCCTTCTTTAAATAGTTGAATGACATAAGAATAAGTTGTTAAATAGTCATATCAGATCGAAACTTTCATATAAATATGGTGAATGGCACGAAATTCATTCAGAACTATCTAAAATGCGGATTCTAATTATATATATATATATATATATATATATATATATATATATATATATATATATATATATATATATATATATTAATAAAAGAATAAGCTTTGTAGAAGCTTACGGTGTTGAGTGAAATAGTCCGAATAAGAATTAGATCCGTCAGGCTATCTTAATCTAGACGCATCACTGCTACTATAACTGCAATTACATCCGGTGCCTTATGAATCTCATGGTTTACTGGATACACTTGAATATATTAGAAATATTTTTGAAAAGGAAAATCTTTAATAGAATAAATATTAAGATTATGAAATTATGTAATTAAAATCTATATGCAAAAAAAAACAAAAAAAAAACAGAGACGCAAAATGATGTAAAATAAAAATAGGAGCATATTAGTATTTGTTCAAATTCAAAGCATGATTCCGCTACGTTATTTATTGTGACAAAAGTTATATAAATTATATGGTATGATAAAGTATTTTCTATAACCATGTAAATTCTGCAAAGGCACTTCATTCACTACATTTTTATATAAATTAATAAAGACAGAAAGAAAAACATTTTATCAAATTTTAATCGTATTCATTTATCAAAAACAGATGCAGGCATGACTAAATGATTTTGTGTTACATGTATTAATCAGATAAAAATACCTGACGGAACGTTTATTTGAACCGGTACAGTTATTTTATAAGCTGAAAAAATTTCCAGCGTCATGACTACTCTAGGCAGTTTTTTGTTTTTTTCCTGCGGCTGGTTGCCATTTCTTTCTGCGGTAGACTGGTTACCAAAGAAAGTTAAAGAAAGCAGTCTGTCCTGCAATTCGGCCCACAGCTGGGATTCATACCTTTACCAAGGGTATTTGTGCGTAAGTAAATCTAATGAAATCGATTTGCATTTAGTACAAAAGAGTACAGGAACTAACTCGTAAAAATCATCACGTTGAGCGTTTACAGAAATGAATCAAGTTTCTCCAAAGTAGTCAATATCGAACTCTTGTTTTGTTGGGACCATCAAAAGTTTAAATAAAAGATTTAGTTTTAAAAGAGTTCGATAAATACCGGGAAAAGTTCTGTTGAACGGTTGGTTGAAAATGCAACAATGAAAATACAATTTGATGATGCAATCTGGCTTTTTCTACTGCACTAATTTCGTCCTATAACACTTGGGAAAGGCAAGAATTTATCTCTTCTTATCTCAGCTTTGGGTTAAAACGCGGGGTAAACTGGCCGCCTTCGCCTTGGTTTGAAAACTAAGAGAAAAAAAAAACGCTGACAGCAATAGAAAACCACTCCGCTACCTTTCCCAAGATATTATGGCAGTTTACAGATGACGAAAAAAATATGAAAAGAATGAGATAGATAGATAGATAGATAGATAGATAGATAGATAGATAGATAGATAGATATGATAGCAATGAGATAGGTACATAGATAGATATGAAAAGAATAAAATAGATAGATAGATATATAGATAGATAGATAGATAGATAGATATGATAACAATGAGATAGGTACATAGATAGATATGAAAAGAATAAGATAGATAGATAGATAGATAGATAGATAGATATGATATGATAACAATGAGATAGATAGATCTAATAAAGATAATTGTATAGATAGATAGATAGATAGATAGATAGATAGATAGATAGATAGATATTGTGATTACTATTGTATTTTGTTTCTACAGAAAATGTTCTTTCTTCAACTAAGCGGCCTGGAGCGATAATTTTTGCAAGCAAAGACGCCAAATACGTCAGATAGGTCTTTTCTCAAAATAACCACAGACAGGCAAGCTATCCTTTTAGATACCTGTGATCCAAACATATAATGCTTTACAAAAAAGAAAAAAAAAAGAAAAAGAAAAAGAAATAAGGAATGATTCAACCAAACAGATTTCTGATTAATTTGGCCTTAATTTAATCATTTGTATCATAAAGCCTGGGGCAAAATTCCCACAAATAAAAGGGTAAATTTTTATAGGTTTCTCTCTCGAAAAAATAATTCAGTAATACCTTTATCAATCAAAGGCAAGCATATAAGTATGTTTATTGCTTACTATTGGTTTATATATATATATATATATATATATATATATATATATATGTGTGTGTGTGTGTGTGTGTGTGTGTGCGCGTGTGTCTGTGTGTGTGTGCGTGTGTAGATATATGTCTGTGTGTGTGCGTGTTTGTATATATATATATATATGTGTGTGAGAGAGAGAGAGAGTGTGTGTGTGTGTGTGTGTTTTTTCTGGAATATATATATATTCCATATATATTTTTTTTCTGGAATATATATATATATATGTGCGTGTGCGTGTGTGGGCATATATATATATATATATATATATATATATATATATATATATTATCCTCACCGACCGCACGACTCGGAGCTTTATGCACAACACAATCTTCAGGTGCTGAATATAGACTGGGCGTTACGTAATTTAAATTAAAAAAAAGATCTGTGGTTATCGTAATGTTGGCATAGATATGTATTATGCTGGGATTACAGTATATATATATATATATATATATATCACGTCACCCAAAAAACTAAAAGATAACATACAATTAACACGCACATCACATTTCCAGTCACCAATAAAACTTTCGGAATGACTAAAGAGGCAATTCTGAAATTCATGAATTGTCCAGCCTCTATTTAAAAAAAAAAACAATCTTAAAAGAGGCCGTTTAACCTATAAAAGGACCGACCTCCCCCCCCAAAAAAATCACTTTCTTCAGAGAGTGGCATCCAATCTGTAGTTCACTACTACTAACAAGCAGTGATTTGTTTCTCTTTATGATAGCCAAACTGGCCGAAACTAGTCGAACCTAATTTAAATAATAACACAAAAAATAGTAATATACAACCCAGTCTGTCTGAAATTTAATTTTTTTAATATTTATTTATTTATAATAATTACTTTCTGTCCAGAGAGGAAAACACTTGTACGAATGCAAAGAAAAGTGAATAAAAGAAAATGTTTCTCATTACCTTGTCAGTCGTCTGTAATAAAACTTATATAAAAGAGAGATTAACTGTCCAAATACACGATTATATATATATATATATATATATATATATATATATATATTAAGAACAATTTTGGGGAAGGATGCATGACAAAGTTAAAAAAGTTTTCGTATGACATGTTTTGTCCTTTAGTCCGAAACACCTCACCCAAAAACCTTTTTCTACTTTGTCATTGTTGTGGTGTTCTCCCTCTAAAGAGTCTGCATTGGACTCTTCTGCCTACTATAAGATTAGTAGGAGAGAAGGCCTTGGGGGAACAGTCGAAGAGATTGTTCATCTGTCGAACTCCCTGCCTTCAGCGGAGAGGAAATCGGACGAAGCTTTGCCGCAGGGCAAAGTTTCGTCCGCGGAGGTAGACTGTCCCTGAACCCGTTTAGGCGGGTTCTAAGGGAATATTTTTGTCCGAGCTTACGGGTTCGGAAAACCAACGTTAAACTAGGCCTTGTGCCATATACATCCCGCGTGGGGGGGGCTGTTAAATATAACAGTCGAATAGATTGTTCATCTGTCGAACTCTCTGCCTCGAGCAGAGAGGAACCCGGACGAGGCTTTGCCGAAGGGAAAAGTTTCGCCCGGGGAGTTACATAGAGCCTGAACCCGTTTATGCGAGTTCTAAGGAAATATTTTTGGCCGAGCCTACGAGCTCGGAGAATCCACGGTAAACTCGGCCTTGTGCCACATATATATCCTTCATGGGTGGTGGGGCTGTTAAATATTAACAGTTGAATAAACTGGACGTTGGGTCAACCGACACACACTCACTAGTCGTGTAATACTCTTCTTCAGAAGAGTATTACACGACTTACTGTTTAATATATGATATATCTTTACTTACTGTTTAATATATGATATATCTGTAACACTTTTTGTTATTTCTTTAACCATTTACTTGGTCACAACAGTCATATATATATATATATATATATATATATATATATATATATATGTATATATATATCGATGATATTTCCTTCTTGTCGCTGACGAAAGAGACATCGCGAAACTTTAAGACTGTTTTCGATAAATATCCTGAATTTTTCATATTATTGATAAAAGAACACGCACATACACACACACACACACACACACATATATATATATATATATATATAGAAGGAGAGGGAGAGAGGGAAAGACAGACAGACAGGAGGAAGAGACAGAAAGGGGGGAGAAATAGCGTATATAAATAACTGTCAAATGATTGAAACATTATAGTTGAAAAGAATTAAACATGTTGGAACTATTTTGTGTGTGTTTTCCAAACTTGTGAGAAGTGTTTTTGCATGAAATAATCTTTCAGCAGGACACAGCTTTCTACCCATTATTCAAATATTGTCAGAGGATTTGGTTCCACAAATGTAATCACTTTATCGATCCCCTTATCCTCAGAACCTTCACAGCCTACCCCCGCCTCTTCCATTCATATGAAATAACTAATTTAGTCTCCCACCCTTGGATCTTGCATGTTGTATTAAGTGAACTTTAGAAAAATAAAACCCAATGCTTTGAGAGAGTGTAACCAGTGAACTGGGCCGAAATGTCCATTCATATCACACCTCTATAGTTTATTAGTTTTGGGCTGGATTAAGAATTCAATTTACAAAAGGATATACAAAAT